ATTTTAAAATTAAAAAAAACTTTAAATATAAATGGTCAAAGTAAAAAATAAAATAAAATTTAAGAATCAATCAAAAAATATTACCAAATATAAAGAGAACAAAATATAATTCATCCTTATTTTTATCTTTCAACTTTTGTACCGTGAACATCGTGTAAGATCCATCATGTTTAAAATATTAATTTTCTAAATATGCACGTCCTGCACTTTAATGGCCCTGTTTGGTACAACTTTTTTTCAACTTTTTTCAGCTTTCAGCTTAATTTAAGCTATTTTGATTTGTTTGGTTTAGCTTAATAATGCAGCTTATAGCTTTTTGTAAGTCAGAAATCAGTTTATTCTTTGAATGGGGCAGAAGAAACTTAATTTATAAGCCAGAAATCAGCTTATATTCATAGTTATAAGCTATAAGCTGTTAAGGCATAAGTTATATGCACTTTCCCACAGCTCTACCAAACAGGGCCAATTTTTGGTGTGTGGATTTGACAGGAAAAGACTATGATTCACATTCTTGTATGTATTTTATAATTAAAAAATATATATATAATTTTATATTTTTAGAGTTATAATTAAAAAGAAAAATAAAAATAAAAAATTATAATCAAACAATATATGAGATATAATTAAAGATCTTATGAGTTATAACTAAAAAAAATTATAATAAAAAAAAAATTGTCCAAATTAAAAAAAATAACATAATTTAAAAATACGTATAATATGAGGTGTTAATGGTAGAATTTCCCGAATTTGTAACAGTTGAAAGCAAGTATGAAGAAATATATTGGCAATATATAAAACGAACCCTTCTATATACATACATATCTACACTGTATATATTTATATATATAAGAATCTCTTTTCTACTTGTGGTTTGTTTTTATTTTTATCTTTATTTTTATTTTGTCTTTAGGGGTTGTTTGGGATGACCTAAATAAGTGCACTTTTTGTCTTTTTACGAAAAAATGTGCAGAAAAGTAGAGAGGTGATGTGATGAAAAAAAAATAAAAAGATAAAAAGATAGATTATTTGGAACTTTCCAAACTTGGCCTTAGTTTGTTTTGTTATTTTGCTCATTAGCTTGGTTGGTGAAACAATTTGGATGGTGGTCTTTTGAAAATTACATAAGAAATTTTGGCTGCTTTGGTTGAGAAGGCTTGTCTTGGGTGGCCTATTTTGCCATTAACTTGTTTTTGAATTTCCTATTTTGCTGTTGATTTAAAATTTATTTAGATAAACTTTAAAAAAAATATTTTTTTTGTTTTTTTTGTTATGTTATAATAGAATATATAAAATATAGGTAGATATCTACCACTTTAATAAAAAATATTATCTGATTTTTTGGGGAAGAGAAAAATAATGCAAGTTTTAATATTTTTTTTTTGAAAATTTGTGAGAGAGATTAGGCGGGAGAGATTATAAAATATTTTTGTTATTAAATAAATAAATCATTCAATAGTTTTTTTTAATCTATTTTGTAAATTAAAAATCAATAATTTTAGAAAATTGATTAATTTTTCCCATTAAGTGATTTAAAATTTGGGAAAATTGGTCTAGGGTCCCTCTCCCACTTTTCGTAAGGGAAGAGATCCACAAAATTATTTTTTGATGTTTAAGGTCCTCTCATCTATCACAGAGAAATTCAGCCCCCTTCCTTTTGTCTACTCTCACTCGTCACCACAATCAAACACGCACAGAGAGAGAGAGCCATGTCGCCAGAAGATGTGTCGATGGAGAGGCTTAGGGAGGTTCTCGCGGAGCTTGATCGACGGAGAGAAGCTCCACGGCACAATCATAGTCACCGACGGACAAAGTTCTCAATCCATCTACAACCGAGATTGGGAAAATTTGCAAGGAATTGAATGTTCAGCTACACAAAGATGCTACGCAGGTTTTGGGGAAGATTGCAATATCTCTCTCTCTCTTTTTATATATATATATATATCTTCATCCTCAATCTCCATCTTCCTCTATTAACTGGTTCATTCCATATCTTGTATAGTTCTTCATCAAGCTCAATTACTATATTTCCCATTTTGAAGAACTTTACCAGCAAATGCTTGCAAAGGCTTTATATTAATGATGTTTATCTGAAATATATATTTATGAATTAAAAAGGTTGACTGAAATATATATTCATGATTAGGAAATTTCAGATAAAAAGCAACGAAAAGTGCAGTGTATTGAATCAACTCCTAGATCTACTCAATCTATTACATAGAACTTGGCCTGAACAATCTCTCATTAAATCATGAGAGAGAGAGAGAGCCAATCCATTTTCTTTGTAGATAATTTCTGTCCAGAGAAATTCTCTGAGATTTTGGCCACTGTGTAAATTTTCTCTGAGAAATTCTCTGGGAGGTTTCTCTGGACAGAAAATTCTCTGGTCATATTTGCCACTTACCAAAGTTCTCTGGTGGTATGAAGCTTTTAAAAAATTACATAATTTAAAACACTTTTTGTCTATTGAATTGGTGGCTTGCTGTTGTTTTTTCTGGTTTTCTATGTACTAATGTCATGTATATTTGCTATAGGCAAGGGTGAGTGCTAGTGTTGTGGTCTATGCTCAACTTTCAAAGCTTGATGGGGTTCTGGGAAGGTTCCATGCCTTACATTGCTTGGAAATGTTTAGGGTGGCAAAATGGTTTTTCCACTGGTGTGTATTAATGTGTTTCATGAAATTTCATATTGAATGTTCTGAGCTATGATATTGTTGCAGAAAATGTGTCGGTGGAAGCATATGGAAGGGAGAGAAATTTGAAATTTCTCTGGAGAGTCCATGAAAGGCCAAGGAGGCCAGAGAAATTTTAAATTTCTCTGGAGAGGTAATTTTGTGGGAAGGCCAGTGAAGTCAGAGAAATTTTCAAATTTCTCTGGAGTGTTGAGTCCAGGAGGGCAGAGAAATTTACAGTGGGAGATTTAGGGAAGGTCAGCTGAGGCTTGAAAACGTTTCTGGAAAGTACTTGGCAGACTGCAACGAAGCTTCAACATCGAAATTAGGATCCAACTGTACCGAAGCTGCAAGGTTGTGGTCTGTCTTGGAGCTCATGCCCCAAGAATTGCTCAAATTTCTCTGGATTCAACCCAGAGAAATTTGAATTTTCTTTAGATTCAACCCAGATAAAATTCAAATTTCTCTGGGTTCATTTTGACCGGTTTCTTTTGAGGCGAGCAAGGGGGTCCAACTCTAAATTGCCTCTTGTTGATCCAACTCTACCGAAGCTGCAAGGTTGTTGTCTATTATACATATAAAAATTAGGCTAGAGTGGCAATTTTTTTGATTACTCTCTCTCTTATGCTGTTGCTTGGTATATCTAACATGAAATTTTTGATTTTTCAGGTGATGTTGAAGCTTCTTTGAGTTGGCGTCCCAGTGTTTTTTGAATTCATTGATCTTCTTTTCAATTGTTTGGGCTTGATTTTCTTGGCTGGTTTTGTTTTTTAATTTCTTCTTCATTCATCCGTGAATTAATAGTTGTAAATGCTACCGACACCGCCAATCTATAAATATAACTATCCTTTCTTGTTGCAGTACACAAAACATAAAGGTCAGAACGTTGAGTTCACAGGTTTCATTGAGTTTTCACAGGTTTGATGGTGTCTAAGATGAAAATATTGCACTGAAGAGAGGAAGAGAATTTCTCTGGATTGAATTTTCTCTGGTTGAATTTTCTCTGGATTGAATTTTCTCTGGTTGAATTTTCTCTGGATCGAATTTTCTCTGAACTGAAATTTCTCTGGATTGATGTTGAGGGACCTTAGACATCATGAAAATAGTTGATGTCTTTTATACTATAAAATCATAATATCAAGGACCTTAAAAAAAATACCCCTTAAAATTTTGATAGATATACATAAAAAAATACATAATTATATTATTGAATCATAATTCAAATTTAGATGTTATATCTTTTTGAGATTTGTAATTAAATTCTTATCTTTTTTTTTTTAATTTTTGTGTGTAACCATAGTGTATGAGAGAAATTTAAAAGGGTGTTACAATAATTATGAGAGAAGTCAAAAGGGATAGTGGGTTGGGAGATGTTAATAAATGTTGAGGTTAGGTTGGGAGAAGTCAATAAATACTGATATTTTTTTTTTAAATTAAAAAAATAAAAAATTAAGATTAAGAGATTGAAACTCCCACAGACCTTAGGATTAAAAATCCCAATCTACTTAGGCCTCGTTTGGGAAGTGGCTATTTTAGTAGTTGATGTCCTTTATACTATAAAATCATAATATCAAGGACCTTAAAAAAAATACCCCTTAAAATTTTGATAGATATACATAAAAAAATACATAATTATATTATTGAATCATAATTCAAATTTAGATGTTATATCTTTTTGAGATTTATAATTAAATTCTTATCTTTTTTTTTTTTAATTTTTGTGTGTAACCATAGTGTATGGGAGAAATTTAAAAGGGTGTTACAATAATTATGAGAGAAGTCAAAAGGAATTGTGGGTTGGGAGATGTTAATAAATGTTGAGGTTAGGTTGGGAGAAGTCAATAAATGCTGATATTTTTTTTTAAATTAAAAAAATAAAAAATTAAGATTAAGAGATTGAAACTCCCACAGACCTTAGGATTAAAAATCCCAATCTACTAGCCTTTGTTTGGGAACTTGGTTTGGGGCTAAAATAGCCACAAAAAACAAAATAGGCTATTTTAGCCACAAAAAACAAAACATCAAATCCAACCCATAATCATTACAATCCTCTCTCACAAAAAAAGCCAAAAAAGCCAAAAAGCCAAAAAGTCCTTCCCAAACCAGGCTAAAATAGTCCAGGTTAAAATAGCCAAAAAGCCAAAAAGTTAAAAAGCCAACCCACTTCCCAAACGGATATATAGTATAGATATTAAAATTCTGTCTGTGGGTGATTCACGTTTCATATGGTGACAACGAACCTGCGGAGCATGGTAACATTTCCTTCGTGATTTGAAGTCCATCTGTTGTCCAAGTTGTTCGCACAAACTAAACACAAAACCCTAAAATACTTCTATATAATCCAAAGCAGCCTTTCTTTTTCATTTTCCAAAACACAAAATAATTCTCTCTATCTCTCCCTTTCCTTCTTATATAATCTGAGAGTCGTCTTTACTCAATAATTCCTCCTTTCTGTGAACTACGACGCCGACGATCATGTCTCGCGGGTGTTCGCACTGTGGAAACAACGGCCACAACTCTCTCACCTGTTCCGACTCTAGCGGTTGCGCCGCCGCCGTCAGCGGTGGTGGAAGTAACGGCGGCATCATGTTGTTCGGTGTTCGGCTCACGGAAGGATCGTTCAGGAAGAGCGCTAGCATGAACAATCTAGCTCAGTACGAGCAACCTCAGGACTCCAATCCCGATGTCGCCGCCGGCTACGCTTCCGACGATGTCGTCCACGCCTCCGGCGGAAGTTACGAGCGCAAGAGAGGTACTCCATAGATCCATCCATGATCTCAAATTACAGTCCGAATTCAAATTGATATTAGATCGATATTTGGTCGATTTATCAATGAATTTGTATCTGAATCCACCTCAATGTTCACAGATTTTGTATTTGTGTGTTGATTTAATTCGTTTATTTGCTTATTTGATTGATTAATTGGTGGAGAATAGGAGTGCCGTGGACGGAGGAAGAGCACAGGCTATTCTTGTTAGGTTTGAGAGGTCAGGGAAGGTGATTGGCGGGGGATTTCGAGGAATTTCGTGAAGACACGTACGCCTACTCAGGTGGCTAGCCACGCTCAGAAGTACTTTCTGCGGCGGTGCAACCATAACAGGAGGCGCCGCCGATCTAGTCTATTTGATATCACCACCGACACGGTAAAATCACCATTAAAATTATTCTATATAAATAATCATCTCAACAAATTTGTGCATCTCATATCACATGATTTTTTATTTTATTTTTCCGTATGTGTTTCAGGTTCATTGAACTTAGATTATTTTGACTTTAGGTACATATTTTTGCAGAAATTTTATGCAAAATTTATTTATAAAATTATGTACTTTGTTATTTTTTGTAATTAAATATTTTAGACGGGAAAAAATATAAATGGTGTGTACATGCACTATATAACTATAAAAAAGAAAAAAGAAAAAAAAACATAATTTCATATTTTGTGAGTTATAATTTTTAAAAAAAGAACTCATAATCAAATAATACATAATACTTAATCAAATATCTCACAATCCTGATTGGAAAAAAAAAATAAATTTAAGAGCACCTATGATAGAGGTGTATATAGTATAATTTTTCCTATTTTAAACATTAAACTATAAGTATCAATGAATTTACATTTTGAATTAAAAAATAATTGGCTTTTATATAGAAAGGTTATAGACAGAAAAATAAAAAATAAAATGCATCGATAACATTTTTTAAAAGAGAATATTTTGATTTTTTTTTTGAACGGTAAAGAGAATATTTTGATTGAAAATTAAACAATGATAGCAATCATTCTCATTATGTTTATATATCGTTACATAAACATAATTACATGATGATGTCTTATAGTTATATTAATTTATTAGATCATCTCCCACTCTTCACTAATTTTTTTCATTTAATTTGATTCTAATTTGAGTAGAAGTTGATTTGATATTAACCACTCTAATTTTTTATTAAATTTTTATCAATTTTTTTCTAAAAATTCTCCTCTTATCTGAAAATTTTCTTTTTATCAAATTTGATTAAAAAAAAAAAATCATCTGCTTCATTTTTATTTATTTAATTTTTATCAAATTTTATGACTCCTTGATTTGATGAAGAATTAGAGATGATTTTTGAGTGTTTTTTCATCAAATTTAAATTTAATAATTGTAAGATTAGTTATATTAATTTATTAGATCATCTCCCACTCTTCACTAATTTTTTTCATTTAATTTGATTCTAATTTGAGTAGAAGTTGATTTGATATTAACCACTCTAATTTTTTATTAAATTTTTATCAATTTTTTTCTAAAAATTCTCCTCTTATCTGAAAATTTTCTTTTTATCAAATTTGATTAAAAAAAAAAATCATCTGCTTCATTTTTATTTATTTAATTTTTATCAAATTTTATGACTCCTTGATTTGATGAAGAATTAGATATGATTTTTGAGTGTTTTTTCATCCAATTTAAATTTAATAATCGTAAGATTGTTAATTGTTGGAAATTAGAAATGCACATAGCTAGGATTGATAATGGTAAGATTGTTATTCTTACATTATTTTTACTATCTTAAATATTATATAAATATTATTTTGGGACATTTTAGAACACACACTTGGCGTGTATTCCGCCACATACGTCATAATTTCATATGCAGCCCTATAAAATATTATAATTAAATTATTTTTAATTATAATTAAAAAGAAATAATTATAACTAAATATTTCATAAAGTATAATTAATATTTTTGTTTGAAATAATTTAGATAAATATATTTTTTACTTTTTATAAAAAATGTAAAAAAGAAAATAAAAAGATACTGTGATTAAAAAAATAAAAAAAATGCTATCTTTAATGTATCCAAACAAGCTCTAAAATAATAATTACAGCAAGTGACAACTAATCATAAACAAACATGATAAACGTGGTAACTGGGTTAGGGTGGGTGTATTATAAAATTAGCAATTATTTTTTGTTACTTTTGATTTGGATTTAGCATATTTTGTTTGTTTTTCGAAATTGGACAGTGTATGAGTTCAGCAATGGAAGAAGATAGAATTCAACAAGAAACTACATCACATCTGAAAAACAACCTCAAAAGATTTCCGGTCTCAACTCTTCCGGCGACACAAATCCCGGTAGCGTTACCAGTCGCCGGAAACAACTCCGAAGACAATCTCAGACTAGGAGATAAGAAAGAATCCAATCTCATCCGTCCAATACCTGTTATTCCGGTCCCACAATCTTCAAAAATGGCAGATCTCAATCTGAACCACACACCCATCGTCGTAGACCCCTTGCCCTTAACCCTAAAGCTCTCTACGTCACCATCATCGTCATCGTCGGATCAGATGTCACCGTCGTCGAGACACTCATCGGCATTTCAGGCCATGTCCGGTGGGTTCAACGGCAGTAGTGGAGATAGCATCATCAGTGTTGCTTGAAGAATATAATTTAATATAATATATAAAATGTTTTTATGTGCTGTGTAAAAGTTTATTATTATAAGATTAATTAGTAGGTTGGATTAGACATGAAGATTAGGTTATTAATTAGGTGATTCCATGGTTGTACAGGTTAGGGAGTGAGAGATTTATAAAAAGTGTCGTTTTGTATGGTTTGGGGTTGAGAGACTCTTGTGATTTATGTTAGGTAATGTATGTAATATATGGGCTTTAGTGGAGCAGTGATATGATAATAACAGCACCAGGTACGGTTATTTTGTTCTCTTTTGTGAGCGGGGCTCTTTCTATCTTCAACTTGAAGAAATATCCGATGGTGGATGGATATTCGGAGGGTATTTGGAATAATTTAAGTATTTATAATTTTTTTTTATAAAAAATTGTGTAAAAAAATAGAGAGATAAGAAAAAAGATATGATTTAAATAAATGTATTTTTTAATTTTTTTATAAAGAAATAAAGATATGATATGATAAAAAATAAAATAAAATGCTTTTTTAAGGTGGTCTCACTAATAAAAAAATTTTTTTTTTTTAATTATTATATTAAATTTTTAAATAAATTACAAATACACGGTGTAGGTGAGGTTTACTTATGTTAGGTACTAGAGAGCCATTCACTTAAACAAAATTTTGATGGTTACAAATTGTAGTGACATCAAAATTTTGTGAGTGAATTAATAATTGAGTAATATTAGAGATTTTAAAAATGTTACTAAAATTTTTATCAAATGTTAGATCTCATATTCATGTGAGACATTTGATAAAAATTTTAATGAAATGTTTGATCAACATTTTTGTGAATGATATTATTATTGGGCGTTGGTAGTTAGGTTTTATTATTTATTATTTAGTTATTTTTTTATAATGGCTTTTGTACATAATGCATTTGAAGATTTGTTAAAAAAAAATTTTAGTGAAAAATATTGATTCGACATTTAATTTTTTTAATTAATGGAAAATAATTTAGTAACCTTTTAATTTTTTAATTGGTATTTTAGCAAAAGCTTTTTTTTCAGAAGTTGCTAAACTTGTTAGTATGCTTAGCATTTCTCAATTTATTTATTACTTGATGTAATATTACATGTCATCCATTAGCAAACAATATTACATTTAGAATATGTTGCGTCGTTACAATAATAATTACAAATGTGGAGTAGAATTTTGATTATTATGTATTAATATTACAAATTCAGAAAATTTATGTAAAAAATTATTTGGAAATATGGACGCGTTCTAAATTTATTTTATATATAAATTTCATAATACATATTTAATCTCAATTATACATTCTAATTTTTGACACAAATTTACGACTATATTCTCAATTCTTAGACTATCCACACACACTCACCTCAACTCATGTGTGCCACTGTAATAATATGGTTACAAATAATCCCTTTGTTCTTATTTTAATTAAAATAGTTACATTTTCCATATTATTTAGAGGGCACATAATTACATAATAGGTAGTTCCAAGAGATTGATCTAATGGTTAAGATTTGGAGTTTGGGAGGAGTGTGTTCTGTCCAAAGTTTCAAGTTCAAATATTTTAAGGTGAAAATAATTTTTCAAAGCTAGTTCATATAAAATTTTATCTAAACTCTAATTGAATTCTCAGCTCACAGACCAAATTATTAAAAAGAAAACAACAATGATTGAGATTTCATTTTTTTTGAGACTTCCACAACCCTCATCGAATTTCAACCATTAATGGTATGAGCTCTACACATATATGATTGGGTCTCACACATAATTAAGATTTAAAGGGAGTTGTGGGAGTTTTTCCAAAAAAAGGAAGCCCCAAATATTTTTTAAAAGAAAATTACATAATAGGTCGAATTTATCATGTAATGGGCGGGGGTCATAAAATAGTGTCGCCTGTGTCATTTTATGAAGGTTGATGGTGCAAGTAAGGTCCAATATCAATCGGACCATTTATTGAGAAAAACAGGCATAATAATCCAATTATGTACATTCCATACTGGAGGTTTTGAAGGACTGATTAGAGATGAAATGAAACATAGGTTTGTGGCTTCTATGGTAAACTAGAAATCTGTGCCAACCTTGAGATAGAACTATGGGTTGTGTACAAAAGCCTTACCGTTATCCTCCAAAAAAGCTTTAACGATGTGATTATCGAAATAGATGCGGAGGAAGTAGTGAAACTGCTTGTAGAAGGAACTGGTGAAAAATATCTTCACATAGGCTTAGTGGAAGATGCAAGTATAATTTTTAATTGATGTCAACACACTGTACAACACGTCTACAGAGAAAGTAATCTATGTGTAGACGCATTGGCCAAGCTCGGGGCAGATCAACTTGAGGATGTACTTCTTGTTAATGACCCATCTGTAGAAATCAGAGCTCTTCCAGTTTCAGACATGGTGGGCTTAGGCCATTTCTAACGGTTCACCAGAATCATCACCAAATTTGAATTTAGTAAAAAATGACACTTTTTTTTTGTCTCCAATGATTTGATCAAACTTGTATCAAATTGAAAATATCCAAAATCTTCCACCAAACTGAAGATGTCTTACATTTTTCAGCAATTTACTGTGCATAGTTATTGAGTGTGGATTGGCCGGACGTCCTCCCGGATGACCACCTCAAGGCATAATTTGTGAAAAATTTACATTAATCGGTCGACCACCTCTCTCTGTGGACCCCAAATCCCATCTGATTACGGTTTCTGCAATCCTCTCGAGTAAATCTTTTGGGGAACGGTTGGATGTAAACATGATCTTCATTTTTGAAACATCCTAAAATGCATTGATAACAGAGAAGTTCTCTTCACCATCTCTCTTCCTGTTCAGGCCAGTGAAACCAGGCTCATTCCAAGAAACATTTTGAAAGCTGGGCACATAAAATCCATTACTGCTATTACCATTCCCCAACTGCCCATTCTCTAGACTACTATTGCTTTCATTTCCATTTTCAACAATCTGAGGCATGAATCTCGAGCAAGAAGATGGCCCAGATGAATATTCAACCCCTTAGTTGGACTGGCTTTTCCATTGGTTCCATTACCCACTCTAAAATTTTCAACATCTCTCGTAACAACAAACCCTGTCATTCATGACAAATATTCAGCAACAAATTCGTAAAGTAATAATCATGGCAGAAAAACACAAGGAATTGAAACTACCATCAATTTCAAATTAAACTGCATGAAAACTTATTTGGTATATGCAGAATTAGGGCTCCTCAAATACAATACTAAAATGATGAACTTCACTGTCAACACTCTTCATTGTTTATTCCCATAATTTATTCTTCATTTGCTCTTTTTGATCGATCGATCGGCCGGATGACCAGCCGGTCGTCTCTTCAGATGACTTGTGATTTGTTGAAAGTTATAGTAGTTCACCGTTGGAGTAATTGATATCAGATAGAAGAATTAGTCATTTTTTTACTCAAATTTAATGATTTATTTGATGAACTGGTAGAGATAAAGAAAAAGACTCAGTCCTAATTTGGTTGTTTTAATTCTGATGTATCTAAAAAAAACCTACTACGCACAGATGGGACATATTCTTGGTCAATGTCAACATGGCAACCATTTAAAGGAGTAAAAGGGCCTCATTTTAGACGACAAACCTAATCTACAACTAAGAATACATTATAAGAAAAGTGGGTATAAAAGACGGAATTTTTTGCGAAAACACATTTGCCGTCGCAAAAAAATATGACTCTTTTAGACGGTACAACTTGCCGTCGCGAAAAATATTACTTTTTTCAAAGGCACAACTTGTTGTCGCAAAATATAGAGTATTTGCGACGGCAGAAAATGCTATCTCAAAAAAAAAAAAATAGAGTATTTGCGACAGCACCAGCTGCAGTCGCAAAAAAAAAAAGAAAAAAAAAAGAGAATTTTTTGCTATTGTAATAGGTACCGTTGTAAAAAAAAGTAAAAAATATATAGATATATATATATATATATATGGTGGCTTTGAGACGTCTTCATATATATATAATCACAAAATAGTTTAAATAAATGCAACTGTATTTTTTTGTCACAAAAAAAAAAAAAGACGTCGTCTTACTCTTTTGATATAACATTTCTCTTTTCACAAATTTTTTCATCTTCTTGTCTCTCTATCTCTGTCTTTTTCTTCTCTTTCTCTCTATCACTCATTACTCTTCTCTGTTTGTTTATCTCTCTATGTCTCTCGCTCATCTCTCCTCTCTATCTTTCTCTTTCTCTCTCTCACTCATCACTCTTCTCTATATGTTTGTCTCTCTCTTTCTCTTTGTCTCTCTTCTCTTTTCCTCTCTCGCTTATCACTCTTCCCTGTCTATCTGTCTCTGTCTTTCTCTCTCTCTCTCTCTCTGTGTTTCTCGCCCATCTCTCTTCCCTCTCTATCTCTCTTTCGTTTATCTCTTTTCACTCTTTCTCTCTCTTTTTCTATCTATCTATTTTCACCTATTTTTTCATCTTCCTCTTTCTCTCTCACACTCATCATTTTTCTCTCTCTGTCTGTCTCTTTTTTTCTCTCTGTGTCTCTCACTCATTTATCTCTTCGCTCATCTATTTTCTCTCTCTGTCTCTTTCGCTCATCTCTCTTTTCTCTATCTTTCTCACTTATCTCTCTTCTTTCTATCTCTCTCATCTCTCTTTTCTCTATGTCTCTCTCGCTCATCTCTATTCTATCTATCTCTCTCTATCTCTTTTTCTGTCTCTTACTTTCTATCTCTCTCTCTCTCTCTCTTTCTCTTCTCTCTCTCACTCATCACTCATCACTCTTTTCTGTCTGTTAGTCTTTATCTTTGTCTCTGTCTCTGTCTCTTTCTCTCTTTGTCTCTCGCTCATCTTTTTTCTCTATTTCTCTCATCTTTCTTCTTTCTCTATCTCTCTCGCTTATTTCTTTTCTTTCTATCTTTCTCTCTGTCTCTCTCACTCATCTTTCTTCTCTGTCTGTCTCTCTCTTTTTATATGTCTTTCTCTTGATCATCTCTTTTTGCTCTCTTTCTCCACTCTCTTTGTCTATCTCTCATTCATCTCTTGTTTCTCTCTCTTTTTCTGTCTGTCTGTTTCTCTATCTCTTTCTCTCTTTGTCTCTGTCTCTCTCTGTCTCTCTATATCTCTTTCTTTCTCTGTTTCTCTCTGTCTCTATCTCTTTCTCTTTCTGTCTCTCTATATCTCTTTCTTTCTCTGTCTCTCTCTCACTCATCACTCTTCTCTCTCTCTGTATCTGTTTGTCTGTCTCTCACTCTTCTCTCTCTCTTTCTCTTTATGTGTCTGTCTATGGGAGAAGATGGG